AAATAGCTATTTGAACAAATACATGCACAAAATCTGGTTCTTGCCTGAAATCTGTTACCTACCTAAAATACACACACAATTACATTCAGATGATGTGTACAAGGATGAATGGAGCTAATAAACAGAAATAGTGCACAGCTTCTTGAGAAACATTGTACATTCCCTCACATCTTGGATTTTTACATCTCCTGCTTCAGTAAAACACAAATGAAACAAAAACAACACCTAGAGAGAGAGAGAGAAATGAATGAGAGCTCTGGTGTTCGGTGTGCTATATATTTTAATTCTCATTTTCTCATCTTAGATTTGAACACATTTGATCTCCATCTCAACACAGACAAAAACAGAATGCAAGAAATGAACATTAGAAGATAGAAGAAGATATTTAAAAAAAAATGTAAATGAGTAAATCCTCAGTGTAGAAAAATGTTCAAGCAAAATGAGAGAACTTTATATCCAACTTCCAAGTTATTTCTTCATTCAAAAACAAATATATTCCAGAAAAGGTAACAATCATTTGTAAATGATCTTTCTGAATACAATTTAAAGCTTGTTCATGTACATTAAGAGAATTGAACATCACAAAATGACCACTGAATGCAAACAAACAGGCATTGCACTAACAACAGCAAATACACTATACATCTGAAAGAAGATATATTTAGTGCTGAAACACTTTCAAAAACACAATTCCAAGCCATTAAGATGATCTTGTGCCGTTCAATGTGGCAATGGAATCTCAAACCACATGCTTATAAAACAACAATTTACACCAACATAAAACCACATCCATAATAATCTCAGTTCTGTCCATCAGTGTGTGTGTGTATATATATATATATATATATATATATACAGTATATATATTATGATTGCGCATTTGGAACAACATTCTTGTGTATGACAAGGCCACAAAGTAGGCATTTTCCAGCCTGCTGCATTTTACACATAAATAATAAATTGAGTATAATCCACATAAAGCATTTCATATGTGCGGCGTAATTTACATAAGCTCCGAGATGCCTATTCAGTCATGAAGAGAGATAGATAGACTGTGGAATGTACATTATAATGGTGAGTATTATACATTCATCATACGGAATGTTTGCTGCTTTTTTTGTTTTACAAATATTATTTTGTTGAGTAGATTTTTGTATAAATCTATATAGGCTATACATGCTAATTTCTCAGCATGAGAAGATATTTGTTTGTATGTAGAGATTTGCAGATTACGTTTAACACCGAAAACAGTTCTCAGAAAGCATGTTATTGTAGATGCCACATTGTAAAGGGTTTCAAAACCATGGCTTTAAAGGTTAATAGTTATTCTATGAAATATTGCTGAAGTATTCATCTGGCCAAATGCCTTCTTCAACGGCTCCCTTTTCGGTCTGTTCGTTCTAATTCGATGTGATTCTGATGGTGTTAAAGGGATTTTAATGGAGAAGAATTCAACCAGGACTGGTCGGAACAATAGGATTCAATCTGCTGGAGCAGATTCAATCACCATAGAAACAGTGTGATCCAAAAACATCTAAAAAAAAACCTTGAACAGATCAAACATACAAAAAAAATAAAAACTAGTATAAAAAAACGTCAGACTAAAAGCAAACAACTTCCCAGCTGTGTAAGTGTGTTTTTTCTAAACTAATTTCAATCAAATACACAACAAATCTGAATGAGTATGCAAATATTTGCTTTGAACTGTGGGAAAAAATAATTAATCCTTTTATCAAGCACTGAGCCTGAATATCCCACATCAAATGTTTACACTGATGTTTGCCACTCAGATGTTCAACAAGGTATAACTAGTAAATAAGATGTAAATAATGTAAACAGAGAGAGATACATTCCCACGCAAAACTCACCCCTATGATGCAAAAGTGTCGTGGTTTGTTCTCAGGGCATTGCTATGAGATTGCTAAGCTGTTCTGAATGTCTTTAGTATATTGCTAAGGTGGTTTGGACATTGCTAGTTGGAAAGGAGCCTGTGATACTGGATATGATATTCTGATCCCTAGATGTGGCTTGTTTAAGTAAAGGTGTGGTCACATTAATGTCAGTCAAATTTTGGCAAACTTTCACTGGCAAAACAGATCCATTGTAAATAGCATGAAGACCACCTCACACAGAAGTCACTTTCAAACCAATCAGCGTTCTTTTGGTCAACACAGAGAATCCACAAGACCAATTTGAGCCCGTTGCGAAATCTGCAAATCTTGCGGGGGGAAAAAATGGTCAAACAACGGTAAATGTAACCGCAACTTAAAGGAACAGTTCCCCAAAAAATGTTAATTCCGTCATCATTTACTCACCCACAAGTTGTTCCCAACCTATATGAGTTTCTTTCTTCCGTTGAGCACCAAAGAAGATATTTTAAAGAATGTCGGTAACCAAACAGTTGCTGGTAGCCACTGACTTCCATAGTACGGGGAAAAAAATACTATGGAAGTCAATGGCTACTGTCAACTGTTTGGTTACACACATTTTTCGAAATATCTTCTATTGTGTTCAACAGAAAAAAGAAATTCATACAGGTTTGGAACAACACGAGGTTGAGTAAATCAGGGGTGTCCAAACTCGGTCCTGGAGGGTCGGTGTCCTGAAGAGTTTAGCTCCAACCCCAATTAAACACACCTTAACCAGCTAATCAAGCTCTTACTAGGCATACTAGCAACTTAAAGGCAGGTGTGTTGGCAGGGGTGTTGAGGCAAGTTGGAGCTAAACTCTGCAGGACACCGGCCCTTCAGGACCGAGTTTGGGCAGCCCTGGAGTAAATGATGACAGAACTTTAATTTTTAGCTGACTTGTCCCATTAACATCTGCCAAGTGAAAACCACAGGCTTGATTACTTAGAAAAATAAAAGCACAGTTCTCCTCAACAAGCCACATGATTTGAGGTACCATTCTTGTTCATAGCACAAATGGTGTGGGACGAGTTATGCGCTATTTATTTAACACTTAGGGTTAGTGGTTTGTTCAAA